GAGGCTCCGAGGTATCAGAAAACGTACATCCATCTTCAAAACCAGAATTATTAGGGGCTTCTTCATTTTGATTTGATAAATAAAACATCTCATGTCCTGAACCCTTTGCAAAATTGAGGAATGAGGTGTGTTTCTTCTCAAACTTGCATGTGCATGTGAATCACCTGGGAGATCCTATTAAAATGCAGACTCTGAGTCAGGAGGCCTAGGCTGGGACCTGAGATCCTGCATTGCTGATGGGCTCCCAGGTTATGCCAGTGCTGCTGGTTCATGGATCACATTTCCAGCAGCATGAGATGGAGACTCTGACTAATTTCTCTGTATGTCCAGCATTAAGCTAATTGGCCGTGCTCTCCCTTTGCAATTCAATAGTAGGAATTGTGGCTCTGACTTTGCTGTTGTGGGTGAAGTTGCTGACACATGAACTGGCAATGCTTAAGGAAAGTTTTATTGTGGATCAATAACCATAAAAATATTCACACCTTTGGGTCGAATAGTTCTGCTTATGGATGTGAATTCTAAATAAATATCCCAGAAGATGAAAAGAAAACATCTGTATGAACAGTGGTGCTCTACAACAGTACTATGTATACTAAAAAAGAAATATTTAAAGTCTGTCTAATATAAAGGAAATGATTAAGTAAATTGTAATAAAGTCACTCAGTGTAACCAAGACAATATTGTAGAAATATGTTCATCTTCTCCCTTTCCTCAAATGCAACATGTCACTAAAGGAACAAAAATGGTATTAACCCACAAGGTTAACAAACTATTTGTTAATAATTTCAACATATTTGTCCAAGACACAAAGTCTATAGAATTGGGGAACATAGGCACAGGCCCCCATGTCTCTATTTGTAATGTTTTATTTTTTTAATTCATCAGTGAGTACAAGGGTGATTTCTTACAATTTTTATACCTTTCTGTGTGCCTGAAATATTTCAAAATTTAATTAAAAAAAAAAAGTGCAGGTTCGGGTGCGGTGGCTCATGCCTGTAATCCCAGCACTTTGGGAGGCTGAGGCAGGCAGATCACCTGAGGTTGGGAGTTCAAGCCCAGCCTGATCAACATGGAGAAACCCCATCTCTACTAAAAATACAAAATTAGCTTGGTGTGGTGGCGCATGCCTGTAATCCCAGCTACTCAGGAGGCTGAGGTGGGAGAATCACTTGAACCCAGAAGGCGGAGGTTGCGGTGAGCAGAGATCATGCCATTACACTCCAGCCTGGAGGACAAGAGCGAAACTCCACCTTAAAAAAAAAAAGAGAGAGAAAAAAACAAAGTGCATAGGGGCAGAGTGAAGAACATTCTAACCTACATGCTGGGGACAGAAATAATGTGACAAAGTGAGCCGGTTTTCCCAATAAAGCCTGGCCTTGATCTTGAAGGCACCAGGGACTGTGGAAGGCAGGAATGAGGTATGGGGGTAAGAGCAGGGGAACACTCAAGTCTGTCTCAAGAGCCTTTGCACCCCTAGATCTCCTGCCCCACTAGGAAACAATCTTTCCCACCTACCACCACCACAGGAGATGGGAAGTTTATTCTTGAAAGAAATTGAGCCACATACGCTCAGCACACAGGCACATCAGATATCATAAGAGGCCAGCCGAAAACAAGAGAATTAATGAAAGCTCTACACACTGAACTGTGAGGCCTGTAGGGATGGAAAATGGGATACCTTTCCTCATCCACCATGAGGATGATGGCCAACACTGCTATCACAAGAGGTTAACAAGGGAAAAGCATAAATGCATCTATTTCATCAAAGTTTTACATGACACAGAAGTGTTCAGAGACGAAGACTCAAAGACCCAGAGAAACCTGTCCGTTTTTATGCTTAGGTTCCATGAAGAATGGGCAGCCTCACAGAAATGTGATTGGACAAAAGGGTGTGATCTACTGGTAACAGCGTGGGGGGAGAAAACCCAGCAAGGCCTGTCTGTTCAGATTCTTGTTAGTCTCTCTGAGTAGCATTCCTTCCCCCAGGATATGGAAGAGGACCTCTCTGGAATGAGGCTTTTCAAGGGAGAAGGGAGAGAGTGACCTTTCTGGTTTTGTGGCTTGCTTTGTGGGAAAGGCATGCTAGTTTCTTTGACCCACCTTGGGAAAAAAGGATTCTTGTTTCTATGACTTGCATCAGGGGAGAAAAAGGGATGGGAGACAGGGGCATGAGAGAAAGTGAAAGCCTTGGCTTCTGAGGCCCTTTCAGTCTCCTTTAGTTCAAAGTACTCAGCATATCAAAGTGCCATACTTTGGAGTATCATGTTCGGAGCCCCAGCAGACCCTTGGCCCCTCCACGACCCTGCTTTCAGGCCTCCAGGAGCCAAACATATATACCCACAGGCTTTCAAATTACAACCTGTGGGCCAAACCATACTCCAGTCTGTCTTTGCAAATAAAATTTTATTAGAATACAGTCACACGCATTCATCTGCTAGTTGTCTATGGCTGCTTTTATGCCACAACAGGAGAGCTGCGTAGTAGCAACAGACACCATCTGGCCCACAAAGCCGAAAATATTTACTCTCTGGGCCCTGTAGAAAAAGCTTGCCAATGCCTGCTCTAGAGAAAAATAGAACCGCCAGGGAAGACTCCAGATGCCTCACGTAGAGCTCCCATGAAAATACTGGTAAACTTCCCTGTGACTATGAAGCCCGTCAGTGACCAGCCCCTCCGCATGCACACTGAGCCTCCAAGCAGGTTTCAGCACCTCACTCTTAAGCACAAATGGATGTCCAAAGATTTTCCAGACACTCAAGCCTCAGCGTGAAAGAGTATAATCAAAATAGATAGAAAAAAGGAACTTGGAAGAACCAAAATCATTCAACAAGTAAAAGAAACTTATAATAAAAGTATAGAATTAATTTTATCTAAGATATGAGAAGATACTTCATCCATAAAACAAGAACTTGACACTGTGTTAACCAAAAGGAAATTCTGGAAACTTAAGAAAGAATGACTCAAAATTAAAAAATAAATAAAGAGAAAGTTGAGAGTTTAACAAAAGACAAGGAGATGAAAAATGGTAGGGAGAATAGATTAACAATTCAGGATGTCCAATATTGAACTGGAAAAAATATAGAACAAGCAAACAAAGGAAATGAAGGGCATAAAGTTAGTGATGACATACTATAAAATTCCTGAGAAATATTTTCTTATCTGTTGCACACTGCGCGCAGCATAATGAATAAAAACAACGAGCAAGGGCCAACATGAAATTTCAGAACACTCTAGCAATAAAGAGATGATTCTAAGTTGACAGAGAGAAAAGAAACTGAGCAAAAGAATAAGAACCAGAATGGATCCAGGCTTCTTAATAGTGACACCGCATGCCAGAAAAAAAAAAAAAAATTGGAGTGATGCCTTCAAAATTCTAAAGGAATGTTTTTCATCTACTGTTCTATGTCTAGCACTATTAGTCAGGTATGGAGATAAAAGCATTTTTAGACTTGCAAGGATTTTCATGCATCCTTTTTTAGGAAACTACTAAAGGATGTGCCTCAACACAACCAGGGAGTAAAAACAAGAAATAGGCATGGAATCCAGTAAACATGGGTTTCAATACAGAAATGATGGAAGTCCCGAGATGATAATTTTGCATCAAGTCCATAGAGCAAATGATCCAGTTTCGAGCAAGAAGACTAAAGACGTCGGGAAAGACAGTCTCTGGGAAACAAGGGGACAGAACTGCTCGATTATTTGATGTGTTTAAGATGTGAAAAAAAAAATGATTGCTAGATGTTTTGCAGGTTTGTTAAAACACTTGGAAAAGTAGTATGATATTCAGCTGAACAGCAAACAATTTTTATCTAGTTTAATAATGTAGGCATTGACCATTGATCTAACAAAAATTGTTATACAAGTCTACTTGGAGGACTATGGAGGAAAAAGGTGGGAGTTGAGGACTGGTGAACAGAAAGTTAAATTCTTGCCTAAAATGAAAAAAATCTAGAATAGATATAAAAGCATATAATTCAGAAATACATAGGTAACTTTTAGAAAAAAACAAGGTAGAAAGTAGATGCCTCTCTAAGAAGGGATAGGAGGAAAAATAATTCCTTTGCTTTTTTAGTATATGTAATCATTTGGTACTATTTTATTATTCTAACTATTCACCTACATTTTGATAAAAATTAGTCTAAAATAGATTATGTCAATCTATTAAATCAACATCTATTAGATCATAATTATAACTAGAAAAATTGTTTTTTGTTTTTTTTTTTATGCTTAACTCCTTGTGGTCTGCTGGTATTTAAAAATCTTTGTAATAAGAAAGTCCTTCAGGGCCGGGCGCGGTGGCTCAAGCCTGTAATCCCAGTACTTTGGGAGGCCGAGGCGGGTGGATCATGAGGTCAAGAGATCGAGACCATCCCGGTCAACATGGTGAAACCC